GACAAATCAGGTTCCAAACCCCACTCCTCGGGACGGGTAACGGCGGACACATAATCATTAACGCTCGGTCATGCATTCCTGGCCCTTACCCCGTACCAGAAGGTTTCATGTGGTGCACGTGTGAATCTTTTTAAAAGAACTGCACAGATACAATGTACCTGTATATTTGGCCCAAAGGGGTGGCGGCGCAGTGCCCACGGTCTTACCAGCGCATCAGACAGGTAAAGACAAACACTTGCACCGCACGTGCACACTACTACTGACTTTTGTAGTGAGTTACGACAGTCTACAAACACTCTTGAGAATACTCATCCAGCTAGCAGCTAGCTAGCTGCAGGCCCCTGCCTGGCTGCCGTATCGCACAACTGACGCCTACTTACACCACTGCCACTGGGCACTACCAGCAGAAGAAGGTGGAGAAGTGGCGAGGGAGAGTGGGGTCCGGGTATGGGCAATCAGTACTTTTCGTCCTCACTTCAGTTTTGTGGGCTGACTCATGTAATCTACATGATTGTACTTCGAAGTATGAATAGAGAGGCTCAGGTCGTCAGAGCTAGAGGCGCGTACACGTGCGCATGCCTACTACATACCTCCTTGTGTGCCTGGCACTAATTATGTGCAACTGATGTAGTATTGTACTTCACCCCGACTAGAGTAGAGGCAATCATTTTTATTACCAGTACATGTACTACTAGAGTGGGTCACGGTGTTACGGGTACTATTAAACCAATAATATACAATGTACACCAGTTAATATCCTACGTACAATGTAGATCTACTTCCCAAATGCAGCTCGTGCGATTGATGCATCCGTTGATAGAATACCAACAACGAATTGCAAATTTTAAGCCTGAGTACCAGCGTGCAACTCAAGAAGAAATTGGTAGAGCGGGTTTGTAGTTTACAATATATACATGTATCAGCTTCGAGGAGTCTTGGAAGCCACGATCTGATGCCAGCGGTTGCCTTTAATGGACTGCTCGACGACAAAAGCAAAAGAACGGTTTATAGAAGGTTCGTGAGGGCAGTGCTTGAGTATGCCCCACAGGTTTGAATGGGTACGGCTCCTGCTTGGCCACCGATCCACCTCGAGACTCTTGATCACTACCAGACTGAACAGGCACTGCCATCATTCATGGCCAAAATGTCCTGCAGAACTTTTTAAATACTTGCCAGCGAGGAGAAAGCTTGCTGTCCTGACCTACAGTGTACCTCTATACGGTGATGTGTCTAACAGTAGATCATAGAGAGCAACTCGTGCATAAGGGACACTCGTACTCCCTCTTTCGTGGATACTCATAGTGCTGGCCATTTTATTGAATGATTCTACATGTACATGTACATGCATACATGTAAGTATGCATAATGTGTGTTACCACTAGTATCTATGCAATGGAATCCATCTCGAAGACCAGCACAGTCACTGATGCTCTGTTCCTTTTAGACGCTTACTGGTCTACGTGTACTGGATTACACTGTCAATGACACACTATTAAATGTTGTCAGTATCCACAACTTGGAGTCATGTTGCTGGTGTGTGAGGTCCGCCAGAGAGCCGAGAGAGTGGAGGTGGAATCACTTTAATGACACACTATTAACATTATTTACTATTATACTGAGATTAGCTGCTTTGTCGGTCAATGTGAGAATATGCAGTCAATAATCATCCTGAGCAATGGACCAACGGGTTCCACCCCGACAGTCTATTGGCACATCTTACAAAAGATTCCATGCATACATGTACAATCATGTACATGAATACCGTTACATATTTAGATGTATGGATGGCCGCCTGTAATTGGACTTTGGCCCGGACAACCCCGTGTCGGGAAGGCAACACTACCCACCCGACTGGTCTGACTCAGTTTAGACTGATGACGTACTCTGCAGGTGTGATGGTGCCCATGCATTGAAACAGGTGTATTATGTACATGTACATCTACATGTACATGCACATACATGTATAAGTGGAGGTATAGCCCAAATTTCGCGTCACTCAGCACAAGATATACATGTACATGTGATCGTACTCTTTTACTGGCGCAAACACCATGGAGTTGTGGCTGCAGTTCACGCAGGGGGTGCTAAACAAGTACAAATTACTCGAGTCGTGTGTTTAACTTTTAAAAACATCGTAGCACAGCGAAATGCTTGCCTTTTCCGCAACTGATTTCCACATCATGGGATCGCTTGGGATAATTTATGGAGTATTTTTTAGCATGACCTCTTCATTAACGACATCAACAGAGTTTACGAAATCGCATATCAAAATTTAATTGCAATTGTCACTGTCAGCAAAATTGGCTAAGATGTTCTGCTTCGTCTATCTGACAAGCAGCTTTCAAGCAAGGTCAAGGCATCGAAGCAAATCCTGACGATAGCTTGTCGCAACACATGATCTTAGCAGAGCTTCAAAGAACGGAAATATGTACGTCCTCACTGTCGGAAATGTGCACTCCCTTCAAAGGCCAGAACACTTCACAGCTGTGAGAAGTCAATGACTCTGAGGACATCTGGAAACCGCGCATCACATTACACAAGATTGCTGGTACATTATCATGGTGATGACCTGTGACCAACAGCTGTGCTGGTACTTCAGTAGCATCAATGAGATGTATGTCGTGAAATAGGCCATCCAAGAACGTGTGTATCATTTGCTGTACTGGTGTTGAGTAGACTAAGATCCAACGACGTCAAACGTAACAGAGGTACAAGTGTAGTCAAAACTGTTTTCGGAGAGATACAAACTATTCTCCAAAGACTGTGTGACCCTCGTACTTCTCGCAACCCTTCTTCCACTACATACATATATCCTGTCGGCCCAGCCGGAATTCACATCCCTCATCCACCCCACCTGATGTAGTCTCTTCTCACAAACACCTTGGCATTGTTATTGACTCCGCACTCTCTTGGGTGCTCCACATTGATTACTGTACATATGGCAAAAATCTAGTTCATCCTCCGTGGCAGTAGTTCTATCACCGCCCACTGCTCCTACCTCCCAATTTCTTGTACGCTTCATTTGTCCTAGTTGGAACAATCAACTTCATGACTATTACCGCCGAAGTCGCAACTTCTAAGTTAGTATTGTTGTCCCTCACGCGGACGTGCGACTAGTTGTTGGAGGTGACAGCGTTGTGAATAGCTATTCTGGCTCTCAACGTCTGTTTAGCACAACTCCATGAGCGACTCTGGCTCACGCTGCTACCTGGGGCTTCACGAGGTGTTTGTCGCGCTGGAAACAAAGCGTCTCTGTAAGTTTGTATCCCTGGTGATGGTTTGGCCCGGAGAGCAGTATATAAGTGGTGCTTTTCAGGCACAATCTTCCTCAGTCTACTCAAGCTCAACTGATGAGGGGTGAATTCCCCGAAACACTGTGTATTGAGCAGGGAGTGGTGCTTTCTTGAAGGTTTGCCGAGTGGAAGGTGCGACGTGCTCCTCGTGTGCTCCGGATGGCAGTCGTGAGTCAGCCAAGTGTCAAGTTCGGCAAGAAGCGTGTGTTCCTAGTTGGAACAATCAACTTCGCTTCTTCTTTATTCAGCCTTCGCCTAATATTCGATTATACCGATAGGTCTTGGGCTGGACTATCCTCGTCCGGTGCTGCAGAGCTTGAAATACACCATAATAATATCCTTAAAATCCTCCTCCGTCAACCCCGCATGCTCTCATCATCCACCCTTTATGAACTTGCTCACACAACCCCGTTATCAAATAGACGCAGTGCACACCTAATAATATAATAATATTGGTTCTCTTCTCTAAGAACTAGAAACTTGCTCTTGCTCCCCAAATGTAACTCATCCACTCTTCTTCGCTCCCATCTCTTTGTTGTACTTCGAAGTATATTCTGTATGGCCCAGAGGAGTTAATGATCTGATCTCACTCCGCCTCTTCAAGATCCGTGTCGCCGCCCCTTATACATGTACTACGACATACATGTACATGTACAAGTAGGTTATTACCCACATATCCTTCGCGCCTCTGTTGCTCATGACTGGATATCGACATCCTCTTTCTTCACGGAGTTGCTGTTGCTTCTGCTACTCTTTCCTCTTCGGTGTTCCCCAAGAACCAGTAACCCCTGCTTATCTTTATCGCCGTGGTTGGCTATCACACACTCTCTTCACATTGGCCTGTGTTTCCACTGAGTCTGGAGATGTTGTAATAAATATGTATAGTAATTATATGTTCAAGGGAACACATCGTGATGTTGATGTTTTTCTACGTGGCCGAGTCAGATATAATTATTATGATTATAATTATCATGTTCTACTTCCGAACTAACCACCCGTCGTAACTACAGTGTAATTTCGATAATTGATACCCATCATAGTTCTTTCTACATGTATTTCTCATCCATCCATCTCGGATAGTACGTGTACAAGGAGACTACATGTAACGATAGTACTCACTACCAAAGACTACTCAGTTTTTTTTTGTTTCCAGTGCGACAAAGCCTCATGCCAAGGCCTACTGGCATGCAGGTGATACTGACTGGAAAGAAGTAATGACTCACGAAACAGCGTCTGATTGTATGAGCACGCCTTCACGAAAGATTCTATACTAATCCCATCCTGTAGGCTAGTGTAGGCTTTACATTGAAAGTATCATGTTCATTTACGTCGACTACTACATGTATGTACGAGGGCCATCTACCGGAGTGGTGATTAAACTCAATACAATTATTACATGTATTTGCTGGTTGGTGCCCAAGCAACGCAGCAACCAAAGCACCACACCTGTGCACAATGTGCTACATGACGATTGTACATGTACATCCAAGCCGGCGGGAAATGAAAACTGCGAAACTTCAAGTAAGTTAGTTCATAAAATTGTCATACTAGTTTCGGGTTTCAATAGGGCTGACCGGAACAAGGTACATGTTTAAATTATTTCTGATGACTTATAGTTTTTATAACATTCAGCGCAATGACGCACCTCACTCATCCCACGTACTCATACAAGTCATAAGAAAATAGGACTGGATATTATGGTCTTACCGTCTGTATGATCCAAATCTGGTGCTAGTACTGGTGTGTCGCCTCCTACTGAACACACATTCGCTGCATCTTGTAAGCTGGACTGGAGTTTCCGACTTGCATTTGCGACCTGTTGCTGTTGAACACATGCATCACCTCCACTGAGCGCCATGTTTCCTCTGCTTCCTTCCATACAAGGCATACTGTCAGGCATCATTGTTAGCTAGCATAGACTGCTGCATGAAAACAAGGGATGGTATACAGTGTTTCTGTGGACCTTCCTCGCATCTAGTACTAGTCTTGTTCTATCTACTACTAGGCGATGAAGATCGTGTCTCCTCGTTTATATACCCTACTGCTGCTGCAGTAAAGTGCAAGGTGAGGTGATAGGTAGAGCCTGGTTAGCTCGCCGCCCGCGCGGCCAGCTAAAGTAGTTCTCAAAATTTGCGATGATTTGGAAGAGAGGTGATGCTGCTGCATGATAGCCTGTGCCGTAAGGTACCTGTCCACGTTCAGGCACATGTAGATTGGGTATGAACATTGATGACAACAACCAGTCCGGCATGGTTAGACTTCGAGTCTTACACCAGCTCCGCTGGATATCGAGCACGCTTAGTAGAACAAATTTTCGGTGCAAAAGGAGAGAACAAAATGGCCAATAATAGAACAATCATCGGAATATTCTTGGAGAAAGAATTCGGGACGTGACCCACCCCTCTGCCGACATAATATCGCTGAACTGAGTGCGGGGATATCCGATCAATGCAATCATGAGCATCTGGTGGGCAGCTGGTCATTGGCAAACCCCGGATTAGTGTGCATTCAAACTCCAGGTACAAGACAACGAAGACCACTGTCGACTGTACTATTCTCCCCAGGAATGCAAATGAACAAGGCATCGCATAGAACACATGGACCATGGCAAAGGAACGTGTTGCAAGTTCTGTACTACTTTGCTCCGACCTCAGTCCTGTACATTTCACAAGACGTACTCCTGTACTTTCCGGCCGAATATACACTGACCACATGCTGTTTTTTTACGTTTTTAGAGTTTACGGTTCATGGTGTTGTGTTGTGAGAAGGACGAGTCGAGAATTAGGTAGGAATAGAATCAATAGAATCAATAAAGGCATCTGGAGTCAACGCACAAATACCAACTCTCAACCAACGGATTTTGTAGCCTGCATACTTTTGTGAACTTTTGACTTGACCAGCAGTTTGGCATTGACTGTTGAATATTCATCACTCCTTCGGACAAAATGTTACTCTCCACTTTTCCTATAGGATCAGTGGATGCTACTACATCTAGCTCAAAACGTGGCAACGTTCTAGTTTTGTAAAGTAAGCCCAACCACCATACGAGTGCGCGAGCGGCACACAAGACATGACTGTACACTGGACATATATGAGTAACGGCGCTACATATATGGGTAACGGCGCTACATTTCTGCTGACCGCATGCTACAGTTGACGACCAAGAATGCACTGTATTATAAAATCCCACCAACGGATGCAAAGCGGCAAATACAGCTGGTACCTGGCACTGGTAGGACTAGAGTAATGTGTTTTACATGCATGCCCTGATAATATCCCGGTGTGTCCCTATGATGTAAATGGACGCATTTTACTACGCGACGTATTCACTGCTTTTGTTTTCCAGATCACGGCTGAAGGTCAGGCTGAATGATCACAATTCTGGGTTTGTGGGCTGACGAATGCGCACTGTACTCGTACTCTGTGTGCACCCATCACAAGCAAGTCCTGGACTTTCAATTTTCGCCAACAAAACGACAATCTTTGTCATTGAGCCCTACTGTGATACTCCTTCCGGCTAAGTTTTTTTCTGTGAGCTTTCTGGTGTCTCATTAAGCTCTACAGCCCGCTATAGTCGTAGTTACGGTTGGCACCGAAGATAGGGAAAGTTTCCTTTCCTTCACGTCTTTATCAGTAAGACCAAGCCTACCATTGGTAAGACCGATCACCCGTCTAGCTAGAGCAAGGAACTAGAAGGGATGGCACGATCTTGGTGGTGAGGCGAGCACTCAGATCTATAAGAATGACAGAAAGGATGGCCGACTATCGACTATCGACTGCCTCACATAGTAACATAAATATGCAGAATGTGGTGTGTGTGTGTGTGTGTGTGTGTATGTGTGTGTGTGTGTGTGTGTATGTGTGTGTGTGTGTGTGTGTGTGTATGTGTGTGTGTGTGTGTGTGTGTGTGTGTGTGTGTGTGTGTGTGTGTGTGTGTGTGTGTGTGTGTGTGTGTGTGTGTGTGTGTGTGTGTGTGTGTGTGTGTGGCACATGGTGTGTGTGTCTGTGTGTGTGTGTCTGTGTACCGGTGTGGGAACAGTGCATTGGCACCATTTCAGGGCATCATTCTGTCTGCGAACACACAGCAATGTTTTGCCGCTTTCGATCCCATCATACTTTTCCAACCCCATTGCTCCGATGGAACCCAGGGGGATGCCGGGAATGATTATAATTACATGTATTATCATGGACTGAACGCGTGCATGTATATCACAAGGCCGCAGAACAAAAGGTGACGCCAAGGCCAGTGTGGCCTGGTCATCCATGCAGTCATGCCGTCTAAACGGTCTATTCTGGCCAGTGAAACTCAGTGCCATGAATGCACTAGTAATAGTAGTATACTAGTACACTATCGCCGGGCGCTGCAAGACCGATTGACTGTACACTGGGACGCGGTGCTACCTGTACATGCAATCCACAGTCAATAGCCGAATAGGAGCGAATTTTTAAACTGGCGGTGACTGGCTGATATTACGTCCACCGTCTTGCACCAGCTTTCTAGACATGGCACTGCTAGTCAGTGTGATAGTAATCCTATAGCAGCAATAATGTTATGTACCTTCCCCATATCCCTGCACACAATAGCATCATTGAATACAGTCATGTACTGTATAGCATATGCGTGAAGTGTAGGTAAAGGTACATAATACTAATTAATAGAATACTAGCCTTGTACGTGGTAGAAGTCATGCAGCTCTACCGCATGCCGGGAGTGTGAATATTCATTAGCCCATGGAAAGCGGCGAACAAAGTACAATGATGTACGAGTACAATGTAAATCATCTAAATGATGCAGCCCACAGCTGTACAGGCTGCACAGACAGTCATGTGATCGTTTATTATACATGATGATAATGATCTTCGCCTAAGGGGTACCTTACGTACCTTCTATGAGTGTACATTGTTCCATACTGACATACACGTAGTCTTTGCTTCAGGATCTCATCCCAGTCATGTGACTTTGTGCTGGTAGAACATTGAAAGTTGATACTTTCTTGGAGGAAAACAAACTAACACATAAATCACAGAAGCCACTGGATGTTTTGACGAAACAATACTCTTCAAAGTCGTTACAATGCCAATGATGCATATTGCAAAGCTGGAACCTGAACTGTGTGTGCACTATGCAGAAGAAGAAGTACGTGCGACAGTTGTCAATCTGTTGACCTTGTAGCACCGTATTCCTGACTGTTGTTTGATGTTATGCTCTCACACTCTCAGTCTGTATTAATGGTTTCACTACGTGCATTGTAGTTGGCACCCATTCCGCTCTCTTAGGTGCTATTGTGTCACTGCTCTGACCGCCAAAACCTACATTGTAGATAAAGGACATGTTTGCTGCTTTTATCACTATGGCAACAATGACTTTGAAGAGTAATGGTACGAAAGGCCTTGTCACCAATTCCAGTGGCTTCTGTGCTTAGTTTGGTTTCGTTTGGTTTTGATTATTGCAGTTCGTTGCCTCAACAGTACAAATATCCAGAGGGACGGACGAAAAGAGAAAAGTAAAACAGAGCAGAAAGGAATATGCAACTGGAAGGAAAGAAAAACGGAGAGGGAATGTGGACTGGGGGGGGGGGGGGCTATGTGTGTTATAGTGAAATTTATAAAGAAGGTTTGAGTAAAAGTTCCCACATCCTCATAACCATGGGCTTGTCGGCTGTGCCTTTCGCAAAATATCAGCTTAGGAGGATAATTATGGACTCCATGATCGAGTAGCAATTCCTCCCTCTTATCATGGCTACACGGTACTACCAATGACTACATGTATCATGGTATATGTATGTCATAATATGCACCTTTAAAAAAAGTACTGTGCCGACGCGCGATATCATTTGCCCCTATAATTGTATTGTTGCAATATCCATCATCGATTATATTCTTTCAAACTAGAGAGATGCTCATTGACATAGAGCAACGGAACTGGTGTGTTCCGGAGAACGCTTCGACTAGCTCAAACAGGTACGGAAGGCTGGGATTTCTTGCACGGCAGTCACAGTACAACAAGCATTGTGAACAGCGACATGCAAATGGACTGACTTACTTGCTAGCGGCTAGCGCCTAGCGGTACCATGGTGTACATGTACCTTCTGCAGTTCTGGTATTCACGGAGTCACCATCTACATGTAGCTGAGTATTTCGCTATCTCCCAGACCCTGTTTCCCTGTTTTCACGGGAATCACCAGGTAGCCTGAATAGTGAATACGCCACCTTTTCCCTGCAAAGACTAAGTAACACTGACAGTATAATGCCAGTGTGCACCAGTCACAGTAGTGCACTACCTGCAGCGGTATACTAGCGGGCAAGGCAGCAGCAATATTGAACCACGCTCTCACAAAGC